AACTTACCCCCAAATCCTTAAGGATGTGTTTGGTATAGGGTATTTGTGAATATTACTGGGAAATGATCATTGGTAATCATAAAATGATATGTTTGGTACAAGGTAATCAAAATTTTTACCCGGATATCTTCGTTTACCAGTATTCTCATTTACAAAGAAAAGTGTCATTTGCGATTACCAAAAGATATGTGGTATTTGACAAATCCCATTTCTATGGAAAATGAAAACGAAAATCTAAGACAAAAATACCCTGGGTATATATTCATCGAAACTTCCCTATTTTATTGTGCGCTCCTTTTGTTTGTCGGCAGTAAAGATTCACAGAGCTGGTGTGTTTACTTCGATTTGTTGGTCAGCAACAAACCGATTTTGTTTTACCAGATCTCGACGGTGAATTGTGTTACTTGCTTCCCTGAGTTCAATTTTTTTTCTCCCATTATTTAAAATTTCCAGTATTGCATGTTTCGTCTTTATATATGAAAAAAGGAACGACTTCTTCCTAGTATTTTGTCTTTTTATTCCTGAGGTTCTGATGTGAGCTTATGATATAAGTCATTTTAATTATTTTTTTGGGAAGGGAAGCTTCGTCTAAAGCATTGACTGAGACATTGAGTTATACACCAGTGTTACAAAAATGGAACTCATTTTCTAGTCAGTGCTTAGATCTGTACAAATGGGTCATCTTTTTTATTTAATATTTTTTAAATACTGAGGGGTTATTTTTGTAAAATAACCCATATTCCCAGAAATATTTCACAATCAACCAAACATGGAATCAATAATCTTTACCTAATATTCCCGGTAATATTTTGACTAACCGAACAACTTTTTGATAACATTCTCGGAAAACTCAATTCCCGACCATATTTCCAGTAATCATGATTCCAGGATAAAAAAAAATTTCTCCTGTACCAAACGCCCCCTAAAAGTATAACAATGGAACCCTAAATCAAAGTTAGGTATAGTGGTGGTTCCTCCACCAAATCTCTACAATTTTCCACACTCGTACACCATATAAATAAAAACAAGCATCAATAATAACATCCACACATCCAAACATAAAAAAAAACCAATTTCTACAAACCCTAGTTATGGATTCTCGAGAAATTCCACTGCAATTCATAGGTTAATACTTCTCAAGCTTCAAAATAAGAAGAAGACAATATCCAAGCTTCCAACAATGGAATCATCTTCTTTGCTTCCCTTAAAGTGGTGCATAGTGGGTTTATGAGGGGAGTGACTTTTGCTCCTTAACTTCTTACTTCTAGGTAGGTTACAATGGCGAAGGTGGGTGAAAAGGATGAAGGGGTGACTTTCCTACACTCTTTTAGTCAACCAAATAGAAGAAAGATGAGGAAGAAGGCTTATTTTCTCTTTGGAGAAGAATAACCATGAGAAGGGGAGGGAAGGGCATAATAAGGAAGAGAGAATTATTTTGGTTCTGGTAAAATATATTTTTAGGGAGAAAGACTATTTTGCCTTTAGTTTCCCCTCTCTTTTACAATTCAACCACTTGGATCACTTGGTTAGTGATTTTGAGTTAAATGGGCTTAAGTGAGGTGTGCTACATATAATTAATTATAGGGTCTTAATAATATTTCATAGTTGTAATTTTGCCCAAAACTTTTAGTTTACACTTTGTGCCAACATAGGACTTAACCCTCAAATTAGATTTTTCACTTAATTTAGCCCTTAATTACTCATTAATTCCCATTTACCTACTTTAATTATTTGGGTTATTATATTATTGTTACCATAATAATTTGACATACAAATCATGGATAGAAAAAGAAACCAAAATTAAATTGTTGATCACTTGTCATGATTTGAAGTTGGACAAGGGCAACAAAACTATAACCAATTCAAGACATGTTTTAGGATGAGAAACTATTTGCTATAGGTATTGTTGCGATACCTTGGCATGTTAATATAACCAACTTCTAGCTAACAAGTTTCATCCCATTGATTTAAATTCTCAGCAAAACAAAAGGTTTTTATATGATTGCATATCTTATTTTTTGAATGATCCATGTTTGTTTAGAATATGTGCATATAAAATTTTAAGGTGTGTAGCCAAAGCTAATATGAGAGTCATTCTTTATCATTGCTAGTCCTCTCTGTATGGAGGACATTATGAATGAATAAGAAATGCATATGAAGTTTCAAATCTAATTTTCATTGGCTCACTATTTTTAAGGATTCTCACTTTTTTGTGCAGAATTATGATTTCTACCGAAGAATAGGTATCATATCTAGAATACACAAAATGTCATTAAAATCTAATGTAGAGGTGGAGCTCTTTGATGTATAGGGGTTTGACTTCATGGGAGCTTTCCCACCATTTTATGGTATCCAGTATATTCTAGTAGCAGTGAACTATGTCTCTAAATGGGTGGAGGTGGCAACCATACCCCCCCAATGAGTCTACGATGATGTGGAAATTCTTCAATAAAAAATATATTCACATGCTTTGGCATCCCAAGAGAAATCATTATTGACGGTGGATCTCACTTTAGGTGTGAATAATTTGAGCTCCTTTTAGCTAATATTGCACAAGGTGGTCACAATTTACCATCCACGTACAAATGGCCAAGTAGAGGTTTCTAATAGAGAAATTAAGAAAATCCTATAGAAGGTAGTAAAATAGGACAATTTATAAGACTCTGATTGCTCACTTTATAAATTTGTATTTGAGAAAGCTTGTCATTTGCCGTTATAGATGGAATATAAAACATATTGGGTAGTATTCAAATTGAATTTGGACTTTAAATCTTCTTGACAAAATATATTATGAGTTGAATTTAAACACTATGTCTATCCTGAGATTCTATAAAGGTGATCATATTAAATTTGAGAATTTATCTCAATGCAAGATATATGGTTGGGGTATTAGATTTGCACAAAAGTAAACAAAGAGAATTATGCATAAATAAGAACATATTGCAGGATATGTTGTAGCACATCAGAAACATGCTATAAACAATATCTAGCAAAATTTGATTTAGACCACTAGCGCGCGCGCGCTCTCTCTCTCTCTCTATATATATATATATATATATGGAAATGATCCGTTTACAAATATTTTTTTACAAATTACACTAAGTATGACCGGTCATACACTCTTGATTGAAGTATGACCGGTCAAACATAGTGTAGTTTGTAAGAGTTTGTAAGCTAAAAGTTTGTAAATATAACCTTCCACATATATATATGGGTTCGCTTTTTCTGTAGTTATTGCAGATAAGTTATTTGCAGTAAACCCAATACGACGTCATTTTTGGGCAAAAATCATGGTATTTTTGAATTTTAATTTATTTCAGGGTTATTATAGTCTTTATGATTATAATTTTGTAATCTTTCAATCTCAAAACGATGTCATTTTGGAAGTTAATGCAGATAATTTATCTGCATTAACTGCAAAAATATTTTTCTGCATATATATATATATATATATATATATATATATATATATATATATATAAAAGTTTTCGTACTTGGTTATTATACTAGTTTGGATAGTACACTTACATTCTTTTCCAATAACTCTTGTGTAAAGACTCTCACTCTTGGCCCAAATTAATTCACCATTGCACCATACATTCAACTTTTAAAATTCAGAGCAGCAACAACAATAATAATAAATAATAAAAATGGAAATTTTAAATTCGGGTATAATTATATTAACAATCAACATAATTATAATTTTTTAAGAGAATATCTAAATCCAATATTCAATCTAAATTTAAAATAAGGAATAAAATATATATAAAGTGTTGAGTAAAGTGTCTATCATACTCTTGTTCAAAAAAGGTAAAAGAAATTAAATATTGAAATTTAAATAAAAAATTGTAACAATTTGAAACCTATTTACGAATATGTAGTAATCAATCACATTCAAAATTGGACGTCACTAGCCACACCCAAATCTAAGTGTGACTGCCCCCAAATTTGGGTGTAACTCACACGAGGATGACACGTGGCATAAATTTTTGGACGCAATTGGTCGCGTCCAATTTTAGGCACAATATGAGAGCAATTACGCCCAAATTTAGGCATAACTCACACATGAATGATACGTGGCACAAAATTTTATAAGCCTATAACTTTTGACTCAGGTGTTTGATTTAGATGATTTTATTTATATTCCACGTAACTTTTCAAAATTTACGCACGAGCAAATTCACATAATTGTGTAATCACACAACTTATTAAATAAATTACACATAATCCACAAATCCTACATATAATGTAGAGATCTTGACATTGTACAAAATTTTGGGATACAAATACCTTATTTCTGATTAGTTGAATAAGTTTTACATAATCTCTTTTGTCTATTGAAATAATAAGTCACGATTATTTGTTATTGTTGGATAGTGAAAAATAAGAACAAGAATTAAATAACACTATTCACAGAGATAAAATATGTCAAATGAGAACAAAGAAGCATTTTTTTGAAAAAAAGTTTTATCAGCGCATAGATCTCATAAAGTTACATGAAAGATTTGGACACTCGAGCCAAAAGTTATGGCTTACCAAAGTTTTAGGATAAAACTTCTAAAATTTTGTACGTGTTATCCTCGTATGAGTTGCGCTCAAATTTGGACACGATTGCCCCCTACTGCGCCTCGATTTGGGTGCAACAAATTGTGCCCAATTCTGGACGCAACTGGTTGATGTACATTCATAAATAAATTTTAAATTACTATAATTTTATAATTTTTATTTAAATTATAATATTTAGAAAAAAAGTTCCCTTCAAAAAAAAGTTATGCAGGAAGATATATCATTATATCAAGCACAACAATATTCAAGTGGGTCCTTATAACTGTAGACCCATAGAAACTGAAGTGTCCCCAAAAAGATTAGCACGGAGAGCAAGATCTGCCAATAGGATCGAGGGAAGCTCACCTTATCCAAACGCCCACCACAATCTTTAATTACATCCATCATCACATCACTCCTTATCATCCATAGCCTCAAACAAAATAATAACCCACGAAACAACCCATCCAAGCCCTTCATCCTTGCTAATTAAATTGATTTTGCTTTTGACTGTGATAAACATCACAAAACTTGCACCACATGGCTGCCATGAACTCTAGCGTATTGGCTTGTAGCTATGCCATATCGGGTTCAGGATGTTCTGAGCTCAATTCGAAGCTCACTTCCGTGTCCTTGGTTGCATCACCATCGGTCTCTGGTTACAAGTTGCCCATGATCAAGGCCCAAAAGGCCATAGTTCCAAAAGCCGAAGAATCTCAAGCAAGTGAAGGAAGGAGAAATGCCCTTTTTCTCTTGGCAGCTACCCTTTTCACCACAGCAGCCGCAGCCTCCAATTCTTCAGCCAATGCTGGAGTCATTGAAGAATACCTTGAAAAGAGCAAGGCCAACAAGGTCTAACCAATCCCTTGTCTTTGTCTTTGCCATATATACAAGGATCGATTATTTTACCTATCAATTTTTTTTTTGCTTATTTTTGTCTATCATTTTAAAATATCATTAAATTAGAATTTTAATTAATATTTATTTTGTTCTCTTCACTTTATATTCTGATTTAACGGTAATGGAGAGTGGTAGGCAAAGGTAAGCAGAAAAAATGTATATTCTGATCTAACGGTAATGGAGAGTGGTAGGCAAAGGTAAACAGAAAAAATAGTAGGTAAAATAACTTGTTCCATATATATACGATGGATATATATATATATATATATATATATATATATATATATATATATATATTTTTTTTTTTTTGCCTTTTTGTGTTTTTTGTCATCATAATGTGTATTAATTTGATTATGTGCTATAGGAATTGAATGACAAGAAGAGGCTAGCTACTAGTGGAGCAAACTTTGCAAGAGCGTACACCGTGCAATTCGGCACTTGCAAGTTCCCTGAGAACTTCACTGGTTGTCAAGATCTTGCCAAACAAAAGGTCTAGCTCTTATTTGTGTTAATTCGTATTAAAAAAATATAATATAAAATTATTCATGATCACATAATGAATTGATTACTTCACATTTTACTTATTTGCTTTCTCAAATCCCAAGTCTTGCATTTACCTTTTCTAATTCTCTCTTCTTCTTTTTCATTTGGTTTTTATTTTACAGAAAGTCCCATTCATTTCTGATGATTTGGAACTTGAATGCGAAGGAAAGGACAAATACAAGTGCGGTTCTAATGTTTTCTGGAAATGGTGAAGGGGGCAACATTTCCATGCCCATCTGTTCTCTTTGAAATGTACCAAACTTCTCCTTGAAAATATACCATATTTCTCTGCAATACTTTTATTTTTATTATTATTATTATTATTATTATTAGTATAATGGTGATGATGATGTTATTGGTTTTTATCTGGTTTAAAAATAAATCAGATAAATTATTAAATTTGATCCAGTAGCAAGAGATTTGATTAGTTTGTATTAAGTTATGTATTGAATTTTCGGTTATATATCCTAAAATAATAAACCAGATAAATTAGGCTTATTTCTTCTAGGTTCGTTGACATTACATCAAGCTTGTCCAATTGCTATGCCTTTTGTTTGGAAGGGATTTTTTATTTTTATTTTTTAACCAGGAGTTTGAACCTTACAAAAAGTTAAAATCTGACTGTCAAAATGATCCATCCACCACTACATCCATGGCAAAATTATCAAACCTTTGATAACGTCAACTATTAAAGTCAGGTACGTTAGAATTATCTTTTTAGCGAAACAGTTTCAAAACATAAATGTAACCTATTCATAGGATCACAGCTAAATTTGTATTCCCTAAGGACTTTGTACTTTTAGGCTTCGCTTATCCTGATTATTGCTTCGATTAAACATCTATTTATATTTTGGTGCGTGACAGCGTGTTAGAAATAGTTTATTTGGTCCAATTTGCCATCATGGCCTCTTCTGTTTGGTATCATTTCCTGTTTCATTTGGCAAGCTAGGAATAAGAAAATTTTTCAGGGATCTTCTGTTCCTGCTTATGGCACTTTTAGAGCTGCTATGGTCTATGGTGAAGATTTTTCTTGGTCAGAAAACACGCTTCGGGTTGCTGGTCTTGAGACTAACTCGAATAAAGAGAAATTAGTTTCTTGGGTTTTTCCTTCGGACCCTTGGGTTAAGCTCAATGTGGATGGGTCAAGTATGAATAATGGAGAAGCTTCTGCTTGTGGGGGTGTATTTAGGAATGCTAGTGGAAGGTGGCTTGTTGGCTTTTGTAAAAATCTTGGCTGTGGTAATGTTTTGTTAGCAGAACTTTGGGGTTGTCTCCTTGGGCTTGAGATTGCATGGAGGAAAGGTTTCCGTTTTGTCTGGCTTGAAGGTGATTCCTTAGTAGCCCAGTTTTTCATAAAAGAAGGGTGCAGCTCTCATCATCCAGCCTCTAACTTGGTCTTGCGCATAAGGAATATGCTGGATTGGAATTGGAGGGTTAGAATTTTCCATATTCATAGGGAAGGGAATGGGGTTGCCGATTGGATGGCCTCTTTTGCCTACTCCTTTGATTGGTCTTTACAAGAGTTTGACTCGCCTACTTCTGGTTGTCGTGACAAACTTGAAAGGGACTATGTAGGAGTAGTTTGGTCTAGGAGGTGTTCCTAGTTTCTTTTTTTTTGTTTTTATGTTTCCTGTTTGCTTTTCAAAAAAAGAAATAGTTTATTTGATTTTCATTTTGACTTTTGCTTTTTTATTTTGGTGAAATATTTTTCTTAGATGAGCTTGTCTTTATGTTTGAAAGTAGAGGTCTGCAAAATAATCAAAAAATTCAACCGAACCATGAACCGAACCGAACCGCTCCTTAAAATAATCGATTTTTAAAAATTAGTTCATGAACCGAACCAGTTTTTAAAGAACTAGTTCATGAACCGAATCGGTTTTTAGAACCAGTTTAAGAACTGAACCGATTTTTAGAACCAGTTTAAGAACCGAACCGTTTTCAAACCAAACCAAATTGATTTTTATAACTTTATTTTTTAATTTTTTTAATTTTTTTCCTTTTCAACATAAGATTGACCCGAATCGGTTCCGAACCAAATCGTTTTCAACTGAACCGAACAACTTCCGAACCGAACCAGTTTTGAACCGAACCGAACTATTTAAACCAATTCGGTTCGGTTTTTCAAAAAATTCGATTCGGTTCGACCCATGCACATCCCTATTTGAAAGGATAGAATGAGATGGTTCATAATGGAGTCGATCGAGCGGTTAAATGATTTAATCTATTATTTGGAGATTATATTAAATTATTACTAATGGAGTAAAATAGTTAAAGATGGATATATTTGTTGCAATCAAATTTTAATAACATTATCATGACTTGTTGCAGGAAACCATCAAATACTAGTAATAATATAAGGGAATTACTTTTCTCATGTTACATAAACAAAATATTATCTCCTACACTCACATTTCTTAAATGGGTCCCACAAGATTTTTTCTCTCTCACCTTTAACTTTTTTCTCTCTCCTACTTTTTGTTTGAGCATGAGATAGTACTTCTCTTATACAACATAAGAGAAGTATTACCCATAATATAAATAAATAAAGGGGAAAACAGTCAAAACACTTATCTTGGAGAAGTGGTGTCTCATGCAGTGGAGACAATTCTTTGAGACATTGATTGTATTGCCACATTTTTAGAAATTATTTTTCTAATTGTCATGTGTTCAAAACAATTTTTCAGAATGCCACGTGGTTAGACATGCTACAGCCCAAAGCATGTTTGGTTTGCCCATGTGTTAGACCATACGCACTTTGCCCTCTAAAACGTTTAGTGGGTGATTGACATGTGTCCCCTTTTACTCAGAGCAAACTAAGTGAAATCAATCACCCACCAAACGTGCTAGGGGGGGTATAGCATGTATAATGTGTGCACTATCAGTCTGCTCTGAGTGAAAGGGGATATGTGTCAATCACCCACCAAATGTACTAGGGGGCATAACATGTATGGTCTGACACGTGGGCAAACCAAACGTGTTATGGGCTATAGCACGTTTGGCCGCATGCCACTCTAGAAAATTATTTTGAACACGTGGCATTTAAGTAAGTTTTTTTAAAAAAAAGTGGCATTGTTGTCACTATCTCCAATTCTTGTGGGACCCACCCATTTTGTTTTATAAAAAAAAACTTGGCACATGATTTGATGGCTGAGCAGGTTATTTTTCCATAAATAAAATAATTAAATTGATATGTACTATTTACTTTATGCACCTATTTAAAAATATTTAATTGCAACAAACCTTAAAAGCTCAGCAACTGAGAGCTTAATGTGTGAGCTACCAACACAATAAAAGTTGTAACATCTTGTAGTACTCCGATATGTTATCATTATGTATTATATTAAGCGCAGTTACAATCACAATAGTTCAATTAAAAATACAGCTAAACTTTTTCTTGTTAAACATTGCACTTTTTCGTTTAAAATTAATACCATGTTTAAAATAAACCAAGACTGTAATTATAAACACTAACATTGCAAAATATTTAATTCTAGCTTAAACATATCATACAAGTCCTATGAGACACTACTATGAGGTTCCCATACGCCTCATAGCCTTATTCTTTAATTTATACATCTTGCTCTGCTCGCTGAGTTCCTCACTTAAGCGAGCTTCTCAGCGAGCAAATTGTATTTCCTCGTTGCTCTGCTTGTACAAGCAAGCATTACAGCGAGCCATTTAATTCCTCAGATAGTTGCTACTGCCCAGGCCCCCTGTTTCCTCGCGGTTTCGCTCGCTTAAGCGAGCCTGAGAACGAGCATTACCCTATTTTTAGTTTCCATCAGCAAGGGTTTTCTGGAACCCAAGGCATAACTCACGAGACTTGCTTGCTCAAGCGAGCATGACCGCGAGCTCTCCCCAGCTCCAACAATGGGTACTGTCTCTAGTTTAATTAACTCGTTGGTCTCTTTGCTTAAGCGAGCTCACCATCAAGCAAAGCCTGAAACTTGAAATATCCCATTTGTTTCATGGCTCTTGTTTCTCAAGTTTTAGCACACCATTTGGTACCTAATAGTCATGGAATGACCACCCAATTCCCAACGAACATGGGGGCACTTACATCCCAATCTACTTATCAAATTATGTCTCTTTCTTGCTTCACAAGTTATCACTCAATTGCTTTCTTGGTTACTAACTTATCTAGTTTCTTAACTTAGCATATATGACCACGTTTTTTTAACAAGGATTAAATACACAACTACAAAAGCTATGCATTATACCCTATGACATGAGTCTCTCAATCACTAAAATAGGCTTACAAGCCCTTCATCATATAATTGTCCAAGATTACATCAATGTCCATAGCATTCAATGCTTACAAAATACATCATCTAAATGTTACCCAAAATAATGCATGGAATGGAACTTAGATACACCACATGATCAAAGTCCCTAACAAAACATATACCAAGGGTTATACAAATGCCAATGATCATATTCTAAGTCCCTACATGTGATATAATGTTCTTCAAAATGAAATTACAATTATATGCAACAAAAAAGTAATCTGTATCACAGCATGCAATATGACTCTATTTACATTGGCCTCCTGCCAATAGATGCTCCTGCATCATTAGTGCCCGTACCTGAAAGGGGATCCCCAAAACGTAGGGTGAGATAAATATTTCAATAAATTAGGGGTCCTTGGAGGATTCCTCCACCCTAAATTACACTTCAGGCATACAACAATAAATAGCATAATACAAAATATATGCATACAAACAATATATGTCAAACAATCCCCACACGGGGTGAGATATATCCATCCCGTCAGGTAATTCTTCAGGTGTAACACCCCGTGTATACCCGATTTGTTATCATATCAACGTATTAAGCAGCGCTTAATAAAAATGCGGAACTAACTTTTTCTTTTCCAATTATGACGTCATTATTATTAACCAAGTTGATTACTTAATCCTTTTCAAAATATTGCCAGTATGTAATTTGCAATAAAAGCTAAATACACTGAATAACCTCATAATATAAATAAGTGAGTATCCAAATCACGAAACTACAACACGTAGTCCGGACCATGATCCTGATATATTAAACAACTCGAATCTAAATCAACATAGTCAAATCAATGTGGCATGGACAACCCCCATGCTTACCAAATAAGGCAACAAAGCCAAACAGAGTCTCAACAACAAAAACATAATAATAAATATAGAACATGTCAGTACCCAAGCACAACAGTATAAACAACATATATCTCAACTCAGCTCTGGTCTCCTGCCGCCCGAGGTATCTACCCCCGAGTTACCTGAACCTGAAAATGTGGCCTAAACGTGGGGTGAGATCTCTAAATAGAAATCTCAGTAAAGCAAGGGGTCCTCAAGGATTTCTCCACCCCAAGCTCACTTACATGTGCAATATAAGTTCTAAAAGCAGTAAAACAATATAAGTTCCAAAATCAGTGCAATGCAGCAGATAATC